CACAGACCTCTCCCTTCACCTGGGAGCATTCACCATGGCATTCCTTCACCCTGGACACACCACATGGGGGTGGGAAGTAGGTGTTGGACTGGGCAGCAGCAGCAGCAGCAATAGGAACACATATGAAACTGGAGTGAAGGGGTAGCAAATCCTCTATCTAGCAAAGGCACCAAGTACTGCCCATGAGCCACAGAGGGAGACACCTACATTTCAGTACCCCCAAGGCCAGGCATCAGGGCCCACTCACCTGGGATGATCTGTGACGCATGTCCCTGTAGGCCTTTGTCTAGCACACACACACCATCCCAAGGACCTAATGGTTCTGCATACCGGAACCAGTAGGCAGAAACCAGTGCTAGGCGTGTGCACACAGTCCTTTGCCACATGGACCCCAAGCCCCAGAGCCTCAGGGGTGGGGGGAGGGCACCAGGAGGCATTTCCTTATGCTTTCTAATTCTGAGATTAGGTCCGCTCTAAATGCATCAACTCTGGAAGGGAGATCCAGAAACGTACACAAGGGCAATGATTTAGTACCATAGTCCTAGGGCACAGCTGATGCCTGCAACTAAAACCTGGGACATCCAAAAAAGAACTGTTCCCAGTAGTGAGGGAGCCAAGCAGTGAGTGGAGGGGCAGTGTGTACACACAGATGCGAGTCTGCTGGGGTGCCTAAGTGCAGGAATTTGCGTGTGTCGCTTTGCAGATACCCACACGTATTTATGTTCCTGTGCACCTGTGCATGGTATATGTACACAATGTGACTGTCTCCACGAGCACATGTATGTCCAGGGGAGATACTGTATCACCAAGGCACAGACAGAAGATGCCTCACAGGTCAGGGTAGCTGGTGTCCTATCTTTGGAGGCCTTGGAGGTCAGGTCAGGTTGGTTTACTCTCAGGTTTGGGGAGGGTCTGTGTAGTGGCCTTGGTCTTAGGTACTAAGCATGTCAGGACCAGTTGAGTTTGAGTGCCTTCCTAGGAGGCAGCACACAGGTAAGATGGGTGTGTGGGTAAGGGCCTTGATGACCCTCCTTGTAGGAGGCCGGTACAAGATACCCAGCCCCAGCCCACTGTCTGTAGTTTAGGTTACTATGTCCCCAGTCTCCATGTAGCTACACAGGGCATCATCCTAGATGAGGGCCTTCACAGCCTCTCTGGGGGCACATTAGCAGAAACCACAGGATGGAAACCTGGAGATAGCCATAACTCACTTTTTCAGAAATCCTAACTACAGCCTTAGGAGAAGCCTCAGCTCCAGGGACATCAGGGATACCCCTGTGAAAGACACTGGCAATTCTAATTCTTGGGTCTATGAAATAAAGCCTTTGCAGACTGTGCCTTGTTGCTCACAGACAGGTCATCCCCACCACATGAAGCCTGCTGTCAGAGCAGCACCTGCACCGTGGCCTGCCATGGCTGTAGTTTGCCTTAGAGCCCCAAGCAAGCAGGCAGGCTTAGCTTTCCCTGACAAGGCCATAATGTCGGTTCTAGAGTTTATGGCTAACTGGGGCTCAGACTTTAGTAACCTCAAGGGAAGTATAAAAACAAGGCCCAGTAAGAGGCCCTACCCTAGCGTTAGAAGGAGACAAATGCTCACATGGAAGAGAGAGCTACATTCACAGCTATCTTCAGAAGCCTGGGGGATATGTGAAAATAAAAGAGGAAAGCAGAGTGTGGTGGGCATGCCTGTGAACTCAGCACTTATGAGGTTAAGGCAAGAGGATCATAAGTTCAAGGCCAGCCTGAATTACACACACAGAATTCTAGAACCAGTCTCAAAAAAAACAGGGCTGACCAGATGGCTTGAGTTCATCCCAGAACCTCACACATAAAGGTGGGAGAAAAGAACTGACTCTGCAAAGTTGTCGTCTGACATCCCCGTGTGTGCTGTGGCATATATGCCCACACCCACATATACCAACAATCATACAGAAAATCTCAAAAATAAAAGGAGGAGGCTGGGGCTCAGTGATTACGAAAACTGGCCGCTCTTCCAGACAACTCACCCCAGTTCAATTTCCAGCACCCAAGTAGTAGCTCACAATCATCTGTAACTCCAGTCTCAGAGGATCTATTCTGGCCTCCATGGGTACCAGGCACACACATGGAGCACACAAATACATGCAGGCAAAATATTCATCACATGAAAAGAAAAGAAAAGAAAAGGAAAGAAAGGAAAGAAGAGAAGAGAAAAGAAAAGAAATTATGCCATACTTAACATTCCATAAAACAGAGACAGATCTATCCTGGGGTGAAGGACCCTGAAATTCGGTGACCTTGGCATTTAAGACAGCTTGACATGCATATCATAGACTAGCCATGCTCTGATTCTAGAAAAACCAAGCAGCCAGGAAAACAGCTGCAGGATAGAAAAAGTAAGGGGGAAAACCAGAGTACAAAAAGGAACATCTACAAAGTTCCTTGAAAAATAATGGCTATAGGGACTACAAAGCCCAGTTTATGGGGGGGGGGGGGAAGGAGGCATAGAGCAGACTGGACACAGCTAATGAGACAGCCCAGCAGTTATCCAGAGGCAGTGCAAGGAACTGACTTCATCCTGGCCCTCAGGAGGGACCTACATGTCTTTGCTGCCAGCTGTTGTGGGTGGGGGCTTCTGGACTAACGACATATGAAAAAGCCAGCTGCTGGTGTCAGAAAAGAGGCTAGCACCCGAGACCTTAGGCTCCTTTGATCCTCTCTAGGCTGTGTACCTAACTACTGGGCAGGACTACTGGCAGAGGCAGTTCTGGCCACTGTCAAAAGACAAAGCCAGAGCAAGGGCGTTTCTCCAGTTCAGCTGCAGGACCTGCTATCCTAGCTGGCCCAGGAGGGCAGCAGACCAGCCCACAGGAAGGCCATTGACGTGTCTCCAGGCAGCCTGGAGTTGGAGGTGCTGGCAGAGCTCAGGGCTGCAGCCTCGATGAAGACGCAGTCATTGGGAGAGAAGGACCAGAGGAAAGCCAGCCCCTGGGAGGGGACCATCAGGAACTGCCTTTCTCTCCAATCCCTCACCCCCCACTCAAGCCAGGCCCGATGCCCAACAGCCCTTCCGTCCTCTCTGGCCAGCGAACTACCCCTCATACCTTTCCCACAGCACCTCTCCCCGAACAGACCCCTCCCTCACCTGGGCCAGATGCTCCCCCAGGGAGCTGCTGGCAAGCTCTGTGAGTGCCAGGTGTCTCCAACCCAGCGCCAATGGAGCTCTAATGCTCCTTCGGGGCCTGCTGAGGTCCTCTCTGACATGCTGCTTCTTTAGCCCCTCCTCACTCCTATTGACCTGCAGGCTGAGAGCAAACCCCGAGTCCATCCCATAGACTTCCGATCACACACTGTGCAGGGAAAGTCAGTGCGTAGATAGTCAACACCAGAGACTTCTCATGCTCTCTGGACCAGCAGAGCCCATCGGGCCACAGCAGACTACACATACCACAAGGTCCTTAACGACCATAACGCATGAGGCCCATATCTGGGGGAGATGAGCCTGACTTTCCTGGGCTTATTAGCTAGTAGGTTCAGTGGAATTTCTGTTCTTGGCTACCAAAAAGAGCTAGAGTGACCAGGGTCATACAGGATTCTGGAACTGCTTGAGGCCAGATTAGTCAGTCGCGATGGAGATTTTTTAAAAAATTAAAAATAAATAAAATAAAACTCCCTGGCAGAGCTGGAAAAATAGCCTGGCACATAAAAGCACCTGGGTTCAGAGGACCTGGGTTCATTTGCCCACAGGAACATGGTGGCTCACAACCATCCATGACTCCAGTTTCTGGGTATCCAGTGCCTTTTCTGGGCTCCATGGCCACTGCTTGTAGGTTGTACACAGACATAATGCAGGAATACACCCATACACATACAATAAAATGGAAAACCAAACCAAACCAAAAAAACTCTGGACATTTGTGGAAATGGGTGAGGAGAGAGCAGTGCCTGCTGAGCACAGTGGGCTGCTATAGAGGGTGTCTGTCTTTGAAAGCACTCAACAAGTGCTGAGACTGGGACAACTGTCTTTAGCCCCCATGCCGAAAGGTTCTTGAAGCTGCAAATGCAGGAGTCCACAGCACCCTCACCTCACACCCACTTGTCACTGGAGGGAAGGCTCACATTGGGCCCTTGGCCTGCCTAGCAACATCCAGCACCCCGTGTCCTAGGGGTGATCTCCACCAACACAAGGGCAACCCCCTCTGCTCAGTGCCCTCACTGGCAGCCAGAGGTGTATGCAGTGCAGGCTTAGTGCATTGGGCCTGGGCTAGCTACAGCCTGGGCACTCCAACAGTCTCTCTGGAATGTCCTTTTTGGGAAAAGTGTCCTTACTGACATGAGACCTTGGGCAATGCCAGATAGGCTATGTTACCATGACTTGTGATGGTGGCCTCCACGTAATTATTGGCTGGATACTAAGTCAGGTCAGCCACATAGGCCAGAAATCTGCCCGTACCACATAATCATGCCCCAATGAAACTGCAGATACCCAGGTTAATAGGTTTTCTGGCTGGCAAATTCCATGTGGGTTGTTTCCACATCACTGCTGAGAGAACGGAGCAGGGACACGCAGCTCCACCCAGAAATGACCTGTGCCTGGTCTCGCCTGGATTCTGTGCACTGTCCCTTTTCTATTGTTGATTTTAATCTGTACCCTTCCCTTGTAATAAACTATAAACACGAACACAAGAGCCTTGTTGAGTGCTCTGAATTCTCCCATCGAATCACTTGAGTGAAGGTGGTCTCGGGGTTTCTTTACCAACATCTAAACTGTGGCTCTGCAAGAAGTCATTGCACAGCGGCTCAAAAAGGGAGCTCCCTGGCTCAAGGCCATGCAGAG